ACCCCCCCCCCCCCGCCCCCTCCTAACCCAAATGAAATATAGTATAAAGAATTTAGGAGGTGGGCTGCTTTAATTTGTGCTGAGTGGGATACAAAGTCTCAGCAGACAGATGTAGAATGCTCGAATTAAAAACAAAACAGTACAAAACAAAACAAACATAAAAACCTTTCTTATGAAGGAATCAAACCCTCGTTTTCAGTGTGCAATGTCGATGAGCTTACCATCACACCAAAGACGCCGGTTCCAGGCTTGATTTGGTCAGGTTTCTTTGCGCCGTAGTGAAAAAAAAAAGGATTGGTTCAAAGTTACACGCACAGCCTTACACCATTGAAGCACGCTATAAGTATGCTAAGTGCTGAGCCAATTGAAAATACTTTCAGAGTGTGAGTCCAAGATGTAGCTCCTAATTGGTTTCCACCAAGATAATAGTACATAATTTATCATTAAGAGTGCCCCATGTGGGTTCATGCGTTAGACCTAAACGTACGTGGAAAACCATTAGATTAATAATTGTGCGTTTTGTGAATTCTGACTTCTATTCCCAGAAATGCCTCAACTGTAGTGAGTTACATCATTGACTCATTGAAAGTTCTTAATTAAACTGAACAAAATTTTCATTGTGTGAGTCCAAGATGTGTAACTCATACTCATAACTGGTTTACACCAAGATAATAATTCTGTTATGTTACGACTTACTTGAGTCTTGCAGTAGTAGATCTAGATGGTAGTTGATGTTGGTGGGGCCTCACCAACTGGTCTTCTGGTAGTTCTTAGTTACCAGATGTTACTCGTTTCGGCTTCAGTGAGTGAGTGACACTTAGTTTACTCAAGCTTTGCCCGAAGTTAGGTGAGATCTCAGTCACGTGATATGTCCTTTAGGCCTACGTCACAATAACTATTATAAAGGTGCGTTCTTGTCCTATTCTAAAGGTGCGCTTCCACCACAAATTCTTTATAGTGTCTGATTTGGATTCATACGTTGAATATATTATGAAGAAAGTAGTTTGATTAATAATTGTGTGTTTTGTGAATTCTGACTTCCATTCCCTAGAAATGCCTCAACTGTAGTGGATGTGTGCATGAGGAACAACTATGGATCAACTTATCGTTCACTCAAACTTCCTTCACGACGATAATGAACAAAAGGCGGAGTTCTTTCAACGAGCCAAGGAGTGGCTCCAACAAGGAGAAGACACACGCTCTATAAAAAGTATTGATGATGCTCTAAAGGCACTCTCTACCAAGTTCTCTTCGGAAAAAACTCCACAACCCTCCACTCACGGCTTTTTCCAGGCTGAGATAGCAATAGATACTATCAATAAAGCTGCCACGTGAGTGCTTTTTTATCGATTTATCGGACCTCATAATATCTTTCAGATCGAAGAAATAACATAATTACGGCTTATTGCTTTAGGGTAGTACTATCACCAACATATTTTTTTTGGGGGAGGGGGTTAGGTACTGCGAGGGTACGTACAGATACTAATTGATTAATATCCCACATATGCAAGGAACAATTGCCTCGCTAAAATTCCACAACTTCTGTACAGCGTAGGGTTTGCATCTTTTCGCCGATCTTATTAAGGCTGCCAGCTAACTCTCGTTCGTGGCGACTTGTTGACATTGGGTTCGTTTCGCCAAAAGATGCACGCCCGCCCTGCCCTAGGAAATGACTTATTATGTGAAGAACTAATTCCAGTGTAGTCAGTAAATGTTTTAAAAATAGAATTGATCCCTTATTTCGAAACTGATTGTCCTTGTGCGCAGCATCCGATTTTGGCGTGGGTGGGTGCTGGTTTGGGGGGGGAGTCACAGTGGGATATCATTATTTTGTTACTGGTATACGAAAGGTGGGTCGCTAGCTAACAATAACGTTTACTCGTAAATATGAGTTCTTGTTCAAACTCGTGTATTTCAATTTCCACACCAATCAAGTGAGGGACTCTCCAGACACCAGCTTCAGCTCAACGAACTACACGAGGTCTACTTCTCCTTCTTTTTGACATGTCTGGAAGCTGACCTTTTGACCATCCATATGAAGATAATGACGCGTGGTTTAGAAAAAAATGATCTCCAACTCTGCGATTTTTTAAAGGTAAGAAAGTAAACTTTTTTTTGGTATGAGAAACGTGGATTTCTCGTACATTTGTACATATATGTGCAAGTGTATGTTTGTGTGTGTATGTGTGTGTGTGTTTGTGTGTGTGTGTGTGTGTGTGTGTGTGT